AACTTTGGCAGCCATTTTCTCGCTAGTTTTACCTTTGAAACCAGGCGACCCCACCACCTTCAATCGCAAATATTTCGACTTCTATTCAAGATATAAGTATACTTTTAAATTGAAAAGCAAGGAAAAGGAATAAGCTTTCAGATGATATCATAACTGTACATGGCCAAAAAATGACGAGTGTCTGATTTCACCGCGCCGTGACACATTGTGTCCTACTCCCTACATAATCCTAACTCAATATTGCATTTTGTGGACATTTTGGATTGTGAGCCACTACTGATGGGTGACAGAACTTTTTTTTGCGTTTCTTTACACTCTTTGATCTTACAACACAAATGGTTTTACTTTTATACATTAGTTGGTACATTCCAACTAAAAACTAACAACAACATGAACAACAACATAAACAACAACATAAACAACAACAACAACAAACAACAACAAACAATTCTTTACAAATAAAAAAGAATGTCCACCATTCTTTACCCGACTGTTCTGTTTTGTCAGAGATGAAAGGTAAATCTGAGGACCCGTCTCATATTAAAAGTGTTATAGTGTTAAAACGCAGTGGGGCAGCATGAAGATCTACTGACCACAGTGAAGAGACGAAAATTAAATGGTACATGTATGGGCATGTCACAAGATCCACAGGACTTGCCAAAACAATCCTACAAGGAACCGTACAAGGAAAGAGAAAGAGGGGATGACAGAGAAGGAGATGGGAGAACAACATCGCAGAGTGGACAGGGAAGACGATGGGTGACAATCTGAGGAAAGCAGAGGACAAAGAGAAATGGCGAGAGCCGGTTTTCGGATGCAGTGGTGCCCCCACGGTTGCCCCAACCACGGGATAGAAGAAGGGGAAGAAGAAAATGTTGAAAAGGCCTAGAACCCTATCTCAACAGTGCAGTGGATGCTGGGAATCAGACCAGGACAACAGACAGACACACAGTTGCAGAGAAAACAAAATTTCTGGTCTTTTTGTTTTAGTAAGATTTTACGGCGCTCACAACTGCATAAGGTCATATTATGTGCGCCAAGGGGTAGATGTCAACAGAGAAGTCCAAACGGGGAATCAGGCATACTCTGCTCACCTCTCTAGCTTCAACAGTCAACAGCACCAAGTCTGCTTCGACTAATAAGGCACCCCAGAAATAGCAGTTCACAAGAGAGTGACAAACAGACAAAAGAAGTAGAGGGAAAAAATGACGATAGTAAGGATGAGGAATGTTGTTCCGGCACAGTATGAGCATGACATTGATAAATCAGCCCATTTACAATTCTACTGTGCATAAAAACACGTTAATGTCCCCCCTTTGGGAATGGCCTAAAGACACTTCAGTCTGTGGCACCGTCCTTGGAGGGGGGATGTCTGGTCTAGAACCTGAACAGATGCCTGTCTGTAAATCTCAGCAGGAAGTTAGCGATCAATGACTGATTGCGTTATTAAATAGTTGACCTAATTAATACTGTATCGATCATTGCAAAGAATCACGTTTTCGTTTCGGCATTGCAGAGGTAGAGCTGAATGCGATATTCCAATATTGATTTCTATGGCCTGGCTCCTTTACATTGTGCTGAGCATGATGTGATTTATCGTATTCGTGGAGTCTGACCCAGTGTCATTCGGCATCGAAATGCACTGAGAACTATTTATTCTGTGTACTTTGGAGAAAGTAGAAATCGAGAGAAAGAGAGAGAGAGAGGGGGGATGAAAGGGTAGAGAAAGGGGGAGGAGGGAAGAGAGAGAAAGGGGAGTGGGGAGAGAGACGTGGTGGGAGAGAGAGGGAATGGGAGAGAGAGGGGGAATGGGAGAGAGAGA